GGCAGGGGCGGGAGATCAGGTCCTGGCGCTCCCCGCCGAGGTCCATAGCCCTCGCCCTTTCCCTCTCCCTCCCCTGGCTGCTGGTCTGGTGGGTCTGTAACCAGAGGTAGGTGCTTCCGGTTAGGGCTTGTCACTGTTTCCCAATACCCGTGTGGGTTTGTTGGGAAAGCTGGGCTGAGAGGTTAGTCCTGATATTCGTCAGGGACCCAGGGGTGGGAGTGTTTGGAGTTGAGAGGGAGAATCAGGCCGAGGACGAAGGGAGTCTGGCCAGCATCAGCACAGGCTTGCTGAGAGTCTGCTTTCGGGTGGGTGAGAGCATCTCACAGAGCCTCAGCTTTAAGAGGATTGGGCCTTTGTCCATAGGAGAGTTTTCTAGTTCCAGCCCCAATGAATGAATGACCTTCCTTTCCATAAGTCCTGGTATTGGGAGGGGCTGCCCTAGGCATGAAAAAAGGGCCTTTACTGAATTTAGTGAAAAGTGGTCTACCGAGAGGAAGATCTTTTGGCCAGGCTCAGGAATGTGCAACCCAGCGAGGTGAGCCCTGGCCCAGATGCAGCCCCCATGGACTGGTCTGGTCTAGTCTGTGTCTGGTTTTTGGCTTTGATGACCAACACCCTGCCCCACCTTTCCTGGTGAATTGGGAGGCTCCCTATTCAGGTATGTGTAGGGTTTGAACTGCAAACAGTCTCTGCTGACTATAAACACTTGTGAGGTGGGGACTTGGGGGGCTCTGCTCTCCAGGGGACCTCCCTCCCTGGTCATAAGCTGCTGAATGAGCCCTGCCCTTCCTGTCATGTGCGAGTAAGAGGTCACTGGTAGTGGGAGAAGTTGTCAGGACTTCCCCTTCCCACCCAGCTAAGGCCTGCTCTTTCCACATCTTCAGGGACTGACTGCTTTCCAGGGCCTCCCAGCAGGCTGCTGTGTGCCCCTACCCCAGCCTTTTCTATGCTTTGCCTCCAGGGATTCTGCTTTGCCTGGCCTCCTTGGGGTGCTGCTTGGGGCTGTCATTCATTCATTCATTCATTCAAAAAGTCTTGATTGAGCTCCTACTATATGCCAAGCACATGGAGACGTCAGTGAACAAAACACAGTGCCTGTCCATGTGAAATTCTGGCTGTCACTGTTCCTGAAGCTGAGGTTGCCTATTGAGCCTTTTATCTGTACCCAGCTCCTGGTCTCCCTCTGGTTACCAGGTGCCTCTCTTCTTCCAGAACTTACATGGTACTTTCAGATGGAGCCTGACCAGCAGGTCTCCAAAAGTTAACTGAGAATAGGATAGCACTGGTCCAGGGCCCCCCCTCCCCCCCCTTTATTGATTTTAGAGAGAGAGGAAGTGAGAGGGAAAGAGATATAGAAACATCAATGATAGAGAACATCAATTGGCCACCTCCTGTGTGATCCCCATGGGGGATAGGGCCCACAACCTGGGCATGTGCCCTGCCCGGGAATCGAACTGGGGACCTCTTGGTGCATGGGTCAACGTTCAACCACTAAGCCACACTGGCTGGACAGTCCAGGGTTTTTTTGCTTGTCTTAGGCTCCTGGGGATTGAGGCCATTCATTCCTGTTGGTTTGAATGCAGCTTCACTCTTGCTTCTTTCCCTACATGGGGCTTAATGTGGTTGACTTCTTATTTCATTTCCCCCTTTAAATATGTCCTTTCCCCAAGGTGTGTCTTCATCTATCTCCTTGTGCCTATGTAAACAAGCCCCTCAGTTCTCAGGCCTCAGGTGTCGCTGCCTGGCTGACTCCAAGGTCCGTCCCCAGCTCCTGGCCTAGATATCCCCTAGATATCCCCTGCCTAGTGCTTTGCTGATTGGTCATCTTACAACCAAACGAGGCCCACTCACTCTCAGGCCTCTCTAGTCCCCATCTCCCATTTCAGCTTCCCCTTTTTTCTTAACTTGTGACAAAAAAAGTCCTGTGAATTCTTTCTTCATCATGTCTTCCACGAAGCTGTCAGTTCCTTTTCCATATTTTCTGTGACTTCCTCCCTGCTGGTGGGCAACCTATGTTTGATGCTGTGTTCTTGGAACTGCCATCAGATCTCAATCTCCCTGTGTCCCACTGCATCTGGAGCCCCCGTCAGCCTTGGCCTTCGGAGCTAGCATCCAGGGCTTTCTCACACACCTGCTGCCCAACCAGACTGCTTTTTTCTCCTGATGGTCATCCCTGTTTCTTCCCTTTGTTCCTCCTGTTGCCTCCCCAGCCTGATACATGATCTCTCTTGCTGCCCTGAGAGAAGGACCCAGCTCACTTCCTGCCTTTCACAGGGTCCTAATACTTATGATGCTGAATCCCCTGAATGATCTCCCACTCAGTGCTACATGACAGCCTGTGCTTTCCTCCCCCTTTGAATAATGAGTCATTGCACTGGCCCCTTGCACATATGTGATACAGCCTGATGTGCTGGGCCTGCAATAGGATCCCAAAGAATGCGCTGCAACAGGAAAGGCTTTATGAAGACAGAAGCTCTGAGCCCCAGGCTAAAGCCACTGAATGTCCAGGCAAGGCAGTGTTGAGGTGCCTCTGGAACTATAGGGAAGAGGCAGTGGAGATCCCTTGCCTCCTCCCTCAAATTACTCCCCATCCAGCACCATCTTGGTTAGCATCTCCATTCATGCTGTTTGGAATCTTCCTGCTCACCATCACCCCTCCACTCCGATGTCACCTCTGTGAACCCTTTCCCAGATTCCACCACTACCCTCCTCCCCACTCTCCTGGAACATGTTACTGTGCTTGGAGGTGCCATATCTGTCTCCTCACTAAACTGAGAGCCCTGGGAAGGCAGGACCTCTCTGAACTCACCCCTGCTTAGTGATGAGCAGATTAGGTACCTTGTGGCCCAAATAGGTAAATAAAATGTACAGAAGAATGGCCAGGATTGTCTTGGTCCCTAGGACAACCCCTAACCCATGTTGTCCTCTGATAAGAGGTGCAGTGGAACTCTGAAGAGCAGGTGACTGGAGTCAGAAGAGCTGCCTTGATTTCTCTGTGGTTCTCTGTTCTGTGCAAAGGTTACTCTAGACTTCCAACCCAGAAGTGGGAAACTTTCAGGAAGGCAGTATACCCTAGGAAGAGGGAAGGGGGTCGCATAAGAGTTGACAGTCCTTCCTGGAACCCCCAATCCCCATTACCGGAGGCCTTGAGCAGAAGCTAGACTTCTGGGAGGTCTACCGAGGCCTCACAGTTGGGTTGGGTGATGGCTCCACAGCCCACTCATCTTCCTGTGCCCCATCTTCTCCTTGGATCCCCCTCTCTGGTTATTTAGAGAGGATTCTCTCCAAACTCGAGGTTCTAGGCATGTTGTAGAGCCGAGGGTGTGCTCATCCCATCAACACAAGATGCCAACCTTCCCAGCAGTGTGTCCCAGGGCTGGGAGTGGTAGGGAGTTTGGTGGGTGGGGTGGGGAGTTGGGGAAACTCTGACCTGAGAGAACAGGGCCAGAATTGCCAGCAAGGCATCAGGCCCAGCTACCTATTTACCTGTATGACTGCTGCCAGCCTGTCATAGCTTCACCTTTTAGGTTGGGGGCAGCCAAGCTGAACCCCTTGGGACCTTGGGGTCTGTATAGCAGGCTTGGAGAGTGCTAGTGAACAGAGGTGGGAATTTCCAAGCAGAGCAGGAACCCAGATAGGCCACACAGCCATAAGGGCCTCTGGTAGAAGAAAGAAAGTAACAGTTATTTGTGTAACAATGCTTGGCTGTGACCATTTCCCCTGAGAGCCACCTCCTGCCCCTGGCTGGGTGTTAACATCATCTACCCCTTGCCTGTGATAACTTGAGGTGGACCTTAGCTGTGTTAGAGCTGCCCCCAAGGTTCTGGTTCCAGATGCTCTGGGCTCACTTTGCCTCCTCCCCCTCCTCAACAGCCCTGGGTGCTGCATATGGCACAGCCAAGAGTGGCACTGGCATTGCAGCCATGTCTGTCATGCGGCCAGAGCTGATCATGAAGTCCATCATCCCTGTGGTCATGGCTGGCATCATTGCTATCTACGGCCTGGTGGTAGCAGTCCTTATCGCCAACTCTCTGAATGAAGGCATCAGCCTCTACAGGTGAGTGCTGGGTTCCTCCCACCACACCTCCCCTACCCTAGGTGAGGCCACTGCACAGGGCTGGAGGGCTGGGGAGTGGGCATTTGGCTAGTGGCCCATGCCCACCATCTTCCCATAAGCAGGCAGCTAATGTTTATCCTGTGTCCTCTCTTCCCCAGGAGTTTCCTCCAACTGGGTGCTGGCCTGAGTGTGGGCCTCAGTGGGCTGGCAGCTGGCTTTGCCATTGGCATTGTGGGGGATGCCGGCGTGCGGGGCACTGCCCAGCAGCCTCGACTATTCGTGGGCATGATCTTGATCCTCATCTTCGCAGAGGTGCTGGGTCTCTACGGTCTCATCGTCGCCCTCATCCTTTCCACAAAGTAACCCCTCTCCAAGTCCACCAGCCACAGAATATGATGTAAAGACCACCCCCTCCTCATTCCAGAACGAACAGCCTGACACACACGCACGGGGCAGCCGTACCCCCTCCTCCAAGTAGTTGGTCTTGTAAATGCGCAGTGTCCTAGTGCCCATCGTCTGTTGCCCCCACCCGCCCCGTGCCGTGGACATCTGGGCCCACTCATCACCCATCCAGGTCCCCCGACCAGTGAGGATACTGGCTTCTAGCCACCCCCACCCATTTATCTGCCCTAGAGTGCTGTGTATAAGGATGAATTCGAGTTGTCATTTTCACTGGATGTTTATTTATAAAGATTTGACCTGTTCGCACGTCTGTGGAGCAGCCCTCCCATATCTCAACTATAGTAATCTTTAGAGTGTTGCTTTGTGGGGTTACCGTGTGCCCTGAGACTTTTTGTATGGAACCACCGTCCTCCAGCCCTGGCTGTGGGGTCGTGAGCTGGGCCTGCCAGGCCCGGAGCCGTGTCCAATAAAATTCTCAGATGTGACTGGATGCCTGTGTGCAGCACTTGTGTGGGCCAGAGGGAAGGGGCGAGATCTGCGCGGCAGCGTCACTGCGTACTGGGATGTGCAGTCACGTGGGTACGCAGGTCACGTGGGTGCGTAGATCACGTGGCGTGCCTCGGTCAGCTGAGGGTACGTGGGTGGGGCCGCACTCAGGGTAAGGATTGGGCTGCGGGGCCTCCGGCTCCCTAGCTCCGCTCGGCTCACGCAGCCCAAGATGCGCAACGGACAGGGCGCTGCGCGGGCCCCGGTGCTCCAGTTCACCAACTGCCGCATCCTGCGTGGCCGGAAGCTGCTCAGGTGACGTGTGGGGCCGGCGGGTGCGGGGCCGCGCGCTGCTGGAGTAGAGCCGGGGCAGGCAGTGGTGGGCGTAGGTTGGGGGCAGGATACTGGGCAGGCGACCCAAGCCCCCACCCCTTTCTGTTCGCAGGGAGGATCTGTGGGTGCGCGAAGGCCGCATTCTGGACCCAGAGAAGTTGTTCTTTGAGGAGCGGCTTGTAGCCGATCAGCAGCGGGACTGCGGGGGCTGCATCCTGGCGCCTGGTTTCATTGACGTGCAGATCAATGGTGCGGTCCAGGGCCCGGGGGTGGAGATCCAGGGAAAGAGCTCTGAGCACCATGCGACCCCCTCTTTCTGTGGCCACAGGTGGATTTGGCATTGACTTCTCTCAGGCCACAGAAGAGGTGGGTTCCGGAGTCGCTCTGGTGGCACAGAGGATCCTGTCACACGGAGTCACCTCTTTCTGTCCCACCTTAGTCACCTCACCACCGGAGGTTTATCACAAGGTGAGATCAGGCTCCAGGTCTCAACCAAAGGGGGCCCGAGAAGTAGTCAGCTACATAATTTTAAGATCTCATCTCTCCCCACCAATGCCCCTTACCTGCTGGCCTTCCTCCACCTGGTCCTGTGGTCCTGTTCCCTAGTCTTTCTTAAATTCAGGTGTTCCTCTGCCCTGCCTCTCCGAACCCGCTGTATTTCCTGTCTGGCTGCTTCTGCAGCTGTCCCCACAGGCCTCCACATTTGCTGCCTCAGCACCTTCCCCTGCCACATGCCTTTGTCACCCTGCACTCTGGCCTTCTCCAGGCTCCAGAAACTGCCTCCTGGTACCAAGACCACTGGGGACTTTCCCATTGTCACATCCTTAGTCACTTCTCATGCTCTTCCCTTCCTAACCTGCCTGTGGTATGTATGGTATGTGGTAAATAGTGTTTTCCAGAGAGACAGTCCATTGTGTTCCAGGTTTCCTCTGCTGCTCTTTCCTGTGCCCCACACCCTCTCACTTCACTTCTGACCTGCAAGTCCTGCTATTCAGGTGTCCTTCTTCCTTTAAGAAATTTTACTGGAGTCCTTTTTCCTTTAAGAAATTTTACTTTTCATGTAGGTTCTCCACTTTACTCTTTGCCACATTTTGTTATTTGGTTTCGTTCTCTCTGTGTGTGTATGTTCTTTTATCCTGAGGTGTCTTTGAGAATAGGTTGTAATATTTGTTAAACCCATAATAAAGATTGTAATTTTTGCTTTACTCCTGAATTTTAGAATAGCTTTAGATTTATAGAAAAATTGTTGAGATAACAGAGTTCTAGTGTCTCCTCCTACACAAGTTTCCCTGTCATCTTAAGTTAGTGGTATATTTGTCACAGCTGATGAACCAGTAGCAACAGATTTTTATAACTAAAATCTATGCTTTATTCAGAGTTCCTTAGTTTTTACCTAATGTCCTTCTGTCCTAGGCTTTCATCCAGGATTACATGTAGTTGTCTTGTCTCCAGAGTGGTCTGGGCTATGACAATTTCTCATACTTTCCGTGGTGATGATCTCGATAATTTTGAGGGTTATGAATGAGGCATTTTGTAGAATGTTCCACAGTTGGGATTTTTCTGATGTTTTCCTCGTGATTAGGCTTATGGGTTTGGGGCGAGAAAAACCCAGAGGGGAAGTACCTTTATCATTAGGTCATGTTAGGGGTACATATGACCAGCAACTGATCATGTTTTTTTTTAATCTTCAAGGATATTTTTCCATTGATTTTTAGATAGAGTGGAAGGGGGAAAGAGAGAAACATCAATTAGTTGCCTCCTTCACGACTCTGACTGTGGCCGGGAATGAATCTGCAACCCAGATACGTGCCCTTGACCGGGAATCGAACCCTCGACCCTTCAGTCCATGGGCCAGTGCTCTAACCACTGAACCAAACCGACCAGGGCACGACTGGTCACTTTCGTTTTTGATTTTTTTAATCCTCACCCAAGGACAGCTTTTCATTTTTGTTCAGATAGAATGGGGGTGTGAGGAGAAAGAAACATTGATGTGAAAGGGACACATCGAGTGGCTGCCTCCCACACGACCCCAGCCAGGGCCGGGGACAAACTGCAGCCAAGGCACGTGCTCTTAGCAGGAACTAAACCTGGGTCTCTGGACTATGGGCCGGCACTCTAACCGCTGAGCCAAACCAGCCAGGGCATGACTGGTCACTTTTGATGTTAACCTTGATCACATAGCTGAGGTGGTGTTTGTGAAGTTTCTCCACTGTAACATTATTCTTTTCCCCTTTTTTCATACTGTATTATTTTTTTTGAAGCAAATCACTAATTATGCACAGTTCACACTTCAGGAATGGGGAATTATGCTCCCCCTCTCTGAGGGAATGAATCCACATAAACTATTTAGACTTCTGTACAGGACATTTGCCTATTCTCATCATTTACTTATTTATGCAATCATTGATTTATATCAGTATTTACTCATGGTTATTGTTTTATACTTTGGATTATAGTCCAATGGTACATTATATAGTTTGGTGCTTTCAGGTTGGCTCCCTGTCCCTTTCAATCCCCCACTGTGTGTTTGTGTGTGTGTGTGTTGGGTAGGGGGTCTTACCTTTTCTAGTAGGAAATGCTCCAGACTCATGTTTATTTCCTGCCCCAGTCTGGAATCTGCCGATTCTGCAAGGAGCTCTGGTTCCTTTTATTGGAGAATGGTATTGGAAAGTAAGACCTGAGTACTAAGTGTGCTCTTTGCTACTGGTGTGTATCACATTTTTAAAATAAGCCCACTCAGAATCAAGGGGAGAGAACACAGACAACTCTTCCTGGTGGAGGTCTGTCATTGTCACATCGTGAGAGCTAATGAGATGGGATATCTTGGTCTCACCATCTTTGGAAAATGTCATCTATCACATCAGTGATTCTGTGCACTATGGATTCTTATGTTACTTAAAACACCTTTCATCCCTGTCTGGTTACTGTTTTGCTTCAGAGAAACTTTCCAAATTTGGTTCTTTTTTTCCCTAAAGTTTGGTTATTCTTGAAGATGGTTTCAGTTAATACAGGGGCACGTTAATAACATTGTGAGAATCATTGCCTTCTGAGTTCTCTCCTAGTTCTTTTGTGGGAGTCCAGGAGACAGTCTCAGCTTGGTGCTATAAATGTCTTTACATATTTATGATACTCACTAATTTCCTTCCTTTTTAATATTCTTGCTCAGAGCTTTCTTACAGCATAGCCTTTGAGGTAGAATGTAATCATACTGTTTTGTTGTTTTATGATTTGGGCAGTTCCCCTCTGCAGCAGAGACATTAGCTGCTACCAGAATGCATGTGCCCCCTGTTACTCCCCATTTCCCTTGCAGTTTGGTAGGGCCATGTGACTGTGCATGGCCCGTGGGCTGTGCGTGGAAGATTTAAAAGTGTGGGTGGTGTTTGTCTCCTGTTCTGAACCTGCATTGCCTCCGTCTGCCTGAGTCTGTCACTGACTGGGGACCCTCTGCCAGCCCATGTCGCACATGCAGCATTTGCTGTGTTAATTCTTTGAATTTCTGGGATCAACTGTTGTTGTTGCATTGCCTAACCTGTCCTGACTAACACATTCTTTTTTTAAAAAACAACAACATGTTTTTATTGCTTTTTTTAGGAGAGAGGAAGGGAGAGAGAAACAGAAACATCTATGTGAGAGAGATACATCGATCAGCTGCCTACTGCACACTCCCTACTGGGGATCGAGCCCACAACCTGGGCATGTTCCCTGACTGGGAATCGAACCAGGGACCTCTCAGTCCTTGGGACATGAGTCACACCGGCCAGGCCCTGACTAATACACCTTTTAAATAGGGTGAGTGGTACTGGATTTTCATTTACATGATGCAAAGTTTACTAATAAAAAGTGAGTTGGGCCCTGGCTGGTTTGGCTCAGCAGTTAGAGCATCGGCCCTTAGACCAAGAGTCCTGGGTTTGGTTCCTGCTAAGGGCACGTACCTCGGTTGCAGTTTGTCCCTGGCCCCAGTTAGGGTCGTGTGGTGGCAACCACTCAATGTGACTCTCTCACATTGATGTTTCTCTCTCTCACTTCCCTCCCTTTCATTCTCTCTAAAAATCAATGGAAAAAAATATCCTTAGGTGAGCATTAACAACAACAAAAAAATTAAACTACCATTTTGTTCCAGTTTTTTAGATTTCTTTCAGTACAGGATCCATTCCAGGATCACCGATTGCATGGACCTCTGTGGGGTTCCATCTGTCATCTGGGAGGCTTGGGATACTCCTTACTCCTGAGCCTCAATTTCCTCAAACCTAAAGTGAGAACAATAATGGTATTTGTCTTTTAGGGTTGTTGGGTGCTCAGCACTGTGCTTGGTACATATTTTGAAACAGTCGCTAAATGTCAGCTACAGACATCTTTCTGGAAATTTTCTCCCAGCTCTCCCATCACAGAGTTGAATGTTAAAAAGCAAACTCATCTTCCTGCTGCAAACTGGCACCTGATTCTGTGGTTTCTCTCCTGGTCATCATTCCATGATTGATCCTACCTGGACTCCTAGAACATGCCCTCCCTCCTGCTCCTTTGTTCTTTGTCCTACCTCTTCCCAGTACCCACCAGTGAGGCTTAGGAACTGTTATCCTAGTCTCCTGAAGAGTGGCCTTCCCAAGGTACAGTGCTCAGCACATCACTTACACATCACTCACACTCCTTTTCTGCCCTTATCTGCAGGATAAATACCACCCTCCCAAACATTCCCTTCCTACCTGCCAGCAAGCCTTTGCTCTCTCCCCAGGCACATTCCAGCCATTCCAGGCAGTTGCTCTCCTGCCCGCCCCTCAAGCCCTCTGTCTGGAAGGCCTCTGCCTTGCTTTGTCTGCTGCACCAGCTGGTTCACATGCTTCCCCATCTACCTGCACAGTATATTCACCCATCACGATACAGACTGTGAGGTCTTTTTCCTTAGGAGGAGTTTCTGGCCAGTAGGGTCTTTTTTTAAATCCTCACCTGAGGATATTTTCCCCTTTATCTTCAGATACAGTGGGAGGGAGGGAGAGAGAGAGAGAGAGAGAGAAACAGCTATGCAAGAGACATATCCATTGGCTGCCTCCTGCAAGATCCTGACCAGGGCCAGGGACCAAACCACAACCGAGGTACGTACCCTTGACCAAAATCGAACCCGCAACTCTGGTTTGCAGGCCGACGTTCTGACCACTGAGCCAAACTGGCCAAGGCATGGCCAGTAGGACTTTTATCGTACATTTTCTTTCCAGCACTTATCCCCTTTAAACGCTGACAGGATAAAGACCTTGGGAAGCAGAGAGTAAACTGATTTATGGTGGAAATCTTGAAGGGCTTTGAATATGAAAAATTTAATACAGATATCATCTTAGGAACTATAGATTGGATGTTTCTCCTGCCCCCACTCCAGACCACCCTGCTTTCTTCTATGGGCCATTCACACTGGGAAGAACTGGATTGCCAGTTTGTCAGAGTTACCCAGGTTCTTTATTATCATGTTCTGGACCATTGAG